TACCGGGAAACCGGGAAACCGGGAAACCGGGATACCGGGAAACCGGGAAACCGGGAAACCGGGAAACCGGGATACCGGGATACCGGGAAACCGGGAAACCGGGAAACCGGGAAACCGGGAAACTGGGATACAGGGAAACCGGGAAACCGGGAATCCGGGAATCCGGGAAACCGGAAAACCGGGAAACCGGGATACCGGGATACCGGGATACCGGGAAACCGGGAAACCGGGAAGCCGGGAAACCGGGATACCGGGATACCGGGATACCGGGATACCGGGATACCCGGAAACCGGGAAACCGGGATACCGGGAAACCGGGAAACCGGGAAACCGGGAAACAGGGAAACCGGGATACCGGGATACCGGGAAACCGGGAAACCGGGAAACCGGGAAACCGAAATACCGGGAAACTGGGATACAGGGAAACCGGGAAACCGGGAATCCGGGAATCCGGGAAACCGGAAAACCGGGAAACCGGGAAACCGGGAAACCAGGAAACCGGGAAACCGGGAAACCGGGAAACCGGGAATCCGGGAATCCGGGAAACCGGAAAACCGGGAAACCGGGAAACCGGGATACCGGGAAACCGGGAAACCGGGATACCCGGATACCGGGATACCGGGATACCGGGAAACCGGGAAACCGGGAAACCGGGAAACTGGGATACCGGGATACGGGGATACCGGGATTCCGGGAACCGGGAAACTGGGAAACCGGGAAACCGGGATACCGGGAAACCGGGATACCCGGAAACCGGGAAACCGGGAGACCGGGAAGCCGGGAAACCGGGAAACCGGGAAACCGGGATACCCGGAAACCGGGAAACCGGGATACCGGGAAACCAGATACCGGGAAACCGGGAAACCGGGAAACCGGGAAACAGGGAAACCGGGATACCGGGAAACCGGGAAACCGGGAAACCGGGAAACCGGATACCGGAATACCGGGAAACTGGGATACAGGGAAACCGGGAATCTGGGAATCCAGGAAACCGAAAAACCGGGAAACCAAGAAACCGGGAAACCAGGATACCGGGAAACTGAGAAACCGCGAAACCGGGAATCCGGGAATCCGGGAAACCGGAAAACCGGGAAACCGGGAAACCGGGATACCGGGAAACCGGGAAACCGGGAAACCGGGATACCCGGATATCGGGATACCGGGATACCGGGAAGCCGGGAAACCGGGAAACCGGGAAACTGGGATACCGGGATACCGGGATACCGGGATACCGGGAAACCGGGAAACCGGGAAACCAGGATACCGGGATACCGGGATCCCCGGAAACCGGGAAACCGGGATACCGGGAAACCGGGATACCCGGAAACCGGGAAACCGGGAGACCGGGAAGCCGGGAAACTGGGAAACCGGGATACCCGGAAACCGGGAAACCGGGATACCGGGAAACCGGGAAACCGGGAAACCGGGAAACTGGGATACCGGGAAACTGGGATACCGGGAAACCGGGAAACCGGGAAACCGGGAATCCGGGAATCCGGGAAACCAAAAAACCGGGAAACCGGGAATCCGGGAAACCGGGAAACCGGGAAACTGGGAAACCGGGAAACCGGGAATCCGGGAATCCGGGAAACCGGAAAACCGGGAAACCGGGATACCGGGAAACCGGGAAACCGGGAAACCGGGATACCCGGATATCGGGATACCGGGATACCGGGAAGCCGGGAAACCGGGAAACCGGGAAACTGGGATACCGGGATACCGGGATACCGGGATTCTGGGAACCGGGAAACCGGGAAACCGGGATACCGGGATACCGGGATACCCGGAAACCGGGAAACCGGGAGACCGGGAAGCCGGGAAACCGGGAAACCGGGAAACCGGGATACCCGGAAACCGGGAAACCGGGATACCGGGAAACCGGGATACCGGGAAACCGGGAAACCGGGAAACCGGGAAACTGGGATACCGGGAAACCGGGAAACCGGGAATCCGGGAATCCGGGAAACCAAAAAACCGGGAAACCGGGAAACCGGGATACCGGGATACCGGGAAACCGGGAAACCGGGATACCGGGAAACCGGGATACCGGGAAACCGGGAAACCGGGAAACCGGGAAACCGGGATACCGGGAAACCGGGAAACCGGGAATCCGGGAATCCAGGAAACTGAAAAACCGGGAAACCGGGAAACCCGGATACCGAAAAACCAGGATACCGGGAAACCGGGAAACCGGGATACCCGGATATCGGGATACCGGGAAACCGGGACACTGGGATACCGGGATTAGGGATGAGCAGAAAAACGAACACCTGTTCGGTTCGCCTCGAACACGTTCGAGGCGAACCGAACAGGTTTGTTTTTTTTGCTTAAATTGTTCGCCGAACAGCCCGAACACGTTCGTGTTCGGGCCGCTGCTGCAATTTGCCCCATGACGAACACGAACGTGTTCGAGGTTCGCCCGAACACGCCTTCACAGGCTAACGAACGGCAAACACCTGTTTTTGCTCATAGTGTTCGCCGAACCGAACAGTGTACGGTTCGGCAAACGGATGTGTTCGTGTAGGGGCGAACACGAACACGTTCGTGTTCGCTCTTTGCTCATCCCTAACCGGGATACCGGGATACCGGGATACCGGGAAACCGGGAAACAGGAAACGGGGATACCAGGAAACCGGGAAACCGGGAAACCGGGAAAACGAAAAACGGGGAAACCGGGAAACCGGGATACCGGGAAACCGGGATACCGGGATACCGGGAAACCAGGATTCCGGGAAACCGGGAAACCGGGATACCGGGATACCGGGAAACGCGGATACTGGGAAACCGGGAAACCGGGAATCCGGGAATCCGGGAAACGGAAAAACCGGAAAACCGGGAAACGGGGATACCAGGATACCGAGAAACCGGGAAAGCAGGATACCGGGAAACCGTGATACCGGGAAACTGGGATAGCGGGAAACTGGGAAACCGGGAAACCGGGAAACCGGGAAACCGGAAAACCGGGAAACCGGGAAACCAAAAAAACCGGGAAACCGGGAAACCGGGAAACCGGGAAACCAGGAAACCGGGATACCGGGAAACCGGGAAACCGAGAAACCGGGAAACCGGGAAACCGGGAAACCGGGATACCGGGATACCGGGATACCGGGATACCGGGAAACCGGGAAACCGGAACGTGGTAAAACGAAAAACCGGTCGGGATGGGCGCACCTGGCGGATGGACGCACCTGGCGGATGGGCGCACCTGGCGGATGGGCGTGGGGACGCGGCTGTGCAGGTTGAGTGGCACCTGTGGGCGCATGTCATCCGGCAGACGCAACAGCAGCTCAAACTCGCCTCCTCCACTGCCACCACCACCACCCGCAGCAGCAGCCGCAGCACCAGCACCGGCAGCATTGCCATTATCCCTTCCACTGCCACTGCCACCAGTAGCAGCAGTAACAGCAGCAACAACAGCAGCAGCAGCATCACTACGCGCAGCAGGTGCTGCCATGTTCCCTTCTCCTTGCCCCCTGCCACCTCCCCCTTCCCTCCCCCCTCCCCCACCGCCCCGCCCCATCCCCCCTCGCCCACCACCACCTCTGCCCCCCCCAGCGCCCCATCTGCCTCTGCCTCGCCCCCGCCTCCCCCCCACGCCCAGTCGCATCTCCCCCAGCGCCTTCAGATCCGCCTCCCCCAGTCCACGCCTTGCTAGCAGCTCCAGTGCCCGCCTCTCTGCCTCGCTCTGCACTTTCCCCCCCTCCCTTGCTGCTTCCTTCCCCCCTTCCTCCGCTGCCCCCCCACCTTCTCGCACCCCCTCCCTCCCACTCGCATTGTCTTGAGACAAGGCGCCGCCCATGTTTGTGTCGTTGCCACCGCTTCCCACCGCACCGCCGCTCTCGCCTTGGTCCCCACACACGTGCTGCTCCGTACCTGCACCACCCATCTTACCATCTTCTTCACGTCCTGCCTGCTCCCGTTTCTCCCCACCGGCCCCATTACCCTCACCTGCTTCACGAACCCCACCTGCTTCACGAACCCCACCTGCTTCACTAAGCCCTCCTCCTTTCCGCACTGGCACTTCTTCCCCCACACGCCTGCTCTTGCCTGACCCTTTCCCCACTCCTCCCGCATCCCCTGCACTCTCCTCTCCCTCCTCACCCTCACCCGCCTTCCTCTTCACACCACGCGCCCCCACAGCCCCGTCTTCTCTCCCACCTCCCCGACTCACACCGTCCCCACCCCCACTGTCCCCACTCACTCTGGTTATCACAGCAGCAGCAGGCGTTCCACTGGCAGGGGTGGCAGCAGCAGGGGCAGCAACCGCAGGAGCGGCAGCAGGGAGGGCAAAAGCAGGAGAGGGAGGGGCAGAGGCAACAACCTGTGGATGACAGGAGGCAGCTGCTTCCGAGGCTGCTGCTGTGTCTTCTGCCATGGGTGCTGCCTCAGGGGATGGTGGTGCTTCTGCTTCATTTGATGCTGGACCTTCCCTCAGTGCTGCTGCTGCTGACTCGTGTGGTGCTGATGCGTGCGAAGAAGCTGCCATGTCGCCATGAGACAAAAGCGCATGTGCTGCTACTGTGGCAGCAGAGGCGGCAGCAACAGAGCTCGCACCTTTGGGTGCAGTGAGAGCGGGTGCAGTGAGGAGGGCAGGTGCAGAAGCAGCTGTACTTTGTGACATCTCCCTGTCTGTCCCCCCCTTCATTCGCAACTCTCTTTCTCCTCCCCTCTCCTCCCTTCTCTCCCCCCTTCTCTCCTCCCCCTCTTCTTCCACCTCACCCTCAGTCTTCTCACCCTCGCCCTCACGCCCTCCTCTCTTTCCCTCACTGCCTACTCCGTCCTCCCCTCCCCCTTCCCGACCCTCCCCCTGATCCTCTCCCGCTTGCTCCCCCTTCTCCTCTCCCTCCTCGCCCTGCTCCTTTGCTACATCACCCTCTTCTTCCCCTAGAAGCATTGTGTCACACAGTGCTGGAGGGGCAGCAGGGGCACCGGCAGCACCATCATCAGTATATGGGTAAGTAACACACTTACTTTTAGTAGCATCATTAGTATCGTCATCCTTACTAACGTCGCCAGTAGCAGCAGCATCAGAATCAGCACCACCACAACTAGCAACATTGGTAGCAGCTCCATCAGTGTTAGCAGCACTAGCGCCAGCCGCATTCGTATCAGCAGCATAGCAAGCAGTGGCGCCAGCATCAACACCACCAGTGGCCGCCGTAGCAGCAGCAGTAGCAGCAGCAGTAGCAGCAGCATCAGCAGAATCACCATCAACACTCGTGGCAGGTGGGCCATCCGCAGAAGCCGCAGCAGCGGGAGGGGGTGGAGCAGAGACAGGAGCAGAGGGAGCAGCGGAGGTGGCGGGCAGCAGGTGTCGGAAGCGCACCTCCACCACGCCATCTCCCCCCCGCGACACCACCGGCTGCCACCGCCGCTGCTTCCCCCCCCTCCACTCGCTTGCAATTGCGCTCGCACTCCCCCCCTCCTCTGCTCCAGCCACTACTTTCTCCCCCGCATTCTCCCCGCCTGCCGCACCTCCTTCTTTGTCCCCATCGCCCCCCTCCTGCTGCCCCCCAGCCTTCGTCTGCCCGTCACCCGCCCCCCCTTCATCCCCCTTTCCCTTTTCCTCCTCTCCACTCTCTCCCCCTGCCTCCTCCCCATTGTCAACACGCTTCCTCTTCCTCCCACTGCCCTCCATCCCACTTCCCTTCATCCCTTTCGCCCTTTCTGCCCCTTCCTGATCCTCCCCTTCTCCCCCCTCTTCCCCCTCTTCTTCCACCTCCCCCTCCTCCATGGGGCGGGGAGCTACACTGGAATCCGCCAGCCACAGCACCCGCACCTCCCCCTCCCCATCCCCCTCCCCCTTCCCCTTCCCGCGTCCGTCACCCTTCTTCCCCCCCCTACCTTTCCCCCGCGCACACCCCCTCCCCCGCCCAACAACCAGCTCCGCCAGGGTTCTGCTTCTCCCGCCCCCCACGCCCGTGCCCTCCACACTCACTTCCGCGCCAAACTCCATGCTGCGCCTGCCTGCCGCCCGCTCTGCTATCGCCGCCCGCACTGCCAGCTGCTGCCCCAACGCCCCCGCTGCCCCTGCCCCTTTGCCTCGCCGCTTGCCCTTGGCCACCCGCCCCATCAGCCTCTCTCTCACCGCGTCAAGCTTCACTGCCCCTCCCTTTCCTCCCCTTCCTCCCTTTCCCCCCCCTCCTGACCCTTTCCCCCTTTCACCGCTTGCCCCTTGCCCCATGCCCTGCTCACCTTCCCCACAGCTGCTGCTGTTCCCTTCCTCCCCTTCCCCCTGCCCATCCTCCCCCTCCCCTTGTCCAGCTTCCTCCTCCCCCTCCTTGCGTCCCTCCTCCCCTGCTTCTCCCCCGTCCCCTTTTTCCCCACCAGCCCCTGCTTCCCCCGCTGCGGCTGTGCCATCAGCGGCCCCCCATCCCCAGGTGTTGCAGCGGTCAGCAGTGCTGCGAGAGCCAGAGCGGGCGCGGCGGCGCGTGTAGATGCGCCCAGTGCGCACAGGGGTGTGGTGTGGGGCAGAGGGTGCAAGGAGGGCTGCAGCGAGAGCAACAGAGGCAGGTGGTGCTGACAGAGGCGCGTCTGCACCCTCCTCCCATGCCGCTGTGCCCACCTCTGTAGCTTCACCTTCCCCCTGCTTCTCTACCGCCTGCCCGTCCTCTTGCTGCCCCGACTGTTGCTCTTGCTGCTCCTCCCCCTCCTTCTTCCGCTCCACCTCGCGCTTCTCCTCTTCTTGCTGCTGCTCCTCACTCTCACGTCCTCCCTCCTCTCCTCTCAGCTCCTCCTCCTCCTCTCCCAATCCCACCCTTCCCTCTTCTCCCACACCAACAGCAGCCTCCAAGTCCCGCTCAACACCCACCTCTCTCCGCCGAGGGTCCAGATCTAATCGTCGTAGGGGGGCATCACCAAGCTCGTCCTCACACCCCTCAACACCTCCTGCTGCTCCACCTGCACCCTCTGCCTCGATACGCTCCAAATCCTTTTCCCCCCCAGCCGGGGAAGAAAGAGTGCGGGTTGCACTCACAGCTTCAGGGTCAGAGCTCGTGGCAGGTATGCCCAAATCAGACAGTGCAACGTCCAACTCTTCATCACGGAGAGACTCTGAGCAACGTTGTGATGGGTGGAGAGGCTTTGGTTCTCTTGCAGCAGCTGCGGAGACACAGCCAACGCACTCTTCTTCCTTGCTCGCCCTTTCTCCTCCACTCACCCCGTCCATAACATCCGTGCCCTCCGCACTAGCACCACTTGCTGTCTCAGACCCTCCCTGCCTGCCCATCTCTGCCTTTACATCACTGTCAGCAACTACCTCTGACTTGCTTGTATCAGCACCGCTCATTGATGCACGTCCCCCCCCTTCCTCGCCCTTTGCATCATATTGCCCACTTGCCTTCTCCCCCACCTCCACTGCCCTGTGCTCCTCCCCTGTTCTCTCATTCGCTCTAGTTGATTCATGCCCTTCGCCTTGCTTCCTCAGTTTCCCCAGACTCTGTTCATCCTTCTCGTCTTCTTTCCCTCTCCCCATCCCAGCAACAGCATCACTGGCATCGCCAGCAACACCAGCAACAGTAGCACCCCCCACGTTACTACCAGAAGCAGCAGAGGCAGGATTGGCAGCCGCAGCAGCGGCAGCAGCGGCGGCAGCAGCAGCAGGCGATGAGAGGGAGGCGAGAGGGAGGCGCGAGGAGAGGCCGATGGGGAGAGAGAGCGCAGCGGCGGGGATGGGCGGGCGGAGGAAGGGGCCGAAAGGGAGGGGCAGACGCGCGGCAAGGAATGGCAGCGCAGGGGAAATGGGTGGGGGGAAAGGCGAAGGGAAAGGAGCAGCGGATGTGACTGTAAGGGGGCGGGGGAATGCAAGGGGTGGTGGTGGCAGCAGGGGCACGGGGGATGGCTTGGGGGTGAGGGATGCGGGTTCTACTGGGGAAGGGAAGCCTGGGGGGAATTGCAGGTGGGGAGCAGCAGATTGGGCTTTAACAGGAGGAGGGGGTTGCAAGGGGCTGCTGCAAGGGGGTTGCAAGGGGCTGCTGCAAGGGGGTTGCAAGGGGCTGCTGTGAGGGGGTTGATCCCCAACTGAAGCTGAAAGGGAAGAAGCTGGTTGTTGCGAGGGGGAAGAGGCGCGTTTAGGGGGCGAGGGCGGAGTGGGCGAGGGGAGGGCGGAGGCATCGAGAGGGTCAGTGCGGGGGAGGAAGAGGGATGGTGGGAATGACCTGCGCCCAGGCGTGTATGAGTGCGTGGGGGCAGCGACAGCAGTGGCGGCAGCGACAGCAGAGGCAGCAGCGGCAGCAGAGGCAGCAGTGGCAGTGCGTGCATGCGTGGGTGGGGGGGCGGTGGGCAGCAGGGAGTGCATGTGCCCTTTTCCATGTGCTTGCTGCTGTGAGCGAGCATGTGCGAGCACAGAGGTAGCAGGCAGCGCAGTCTCAGGCAAGGGTGAGGTGCGGGGAGGTGGGGGGTGCAGAGGGGCCATCGGGACAGCAGCAGCAGTAGCAGCAGCAGCAGGAACAGAGGCGGAGGGAGGGTGGACGGTGCTATGAGGGGGGTGCTGTTGCGCTGCTGCCAAGTGTGGTTCATTAAGGGTTGCTCCCTGTGGTGATGGCAGTGCCGGGCGGCATGGGATGGCATGTGGTGGTGCATGGGCTAGCTGGGGAAGGTGGGGGCCTTGCACGGAGAGCAGAGGAGGGGTGGGGACGCGGGCGGGGATAGGGTGGGAAGCAGGTGCAGGTGCGGCAACGGCGGTGGGAGGAGGGGCGGGTATGTGGTGGATGGGTGGCACAGATGAATGGCGTGTGGCAGGGGGCGAAGGGGAGGGTGCCACGGCAGCAGCAGCAGCAGCAGCAGCAGCAGCAGCAGCAGCAGCAGCAGCAGCAGCAGCAGCAGCAGGAGCAGCAGGAGCAGGAGGATGAACAGGAAGAGCAGGCACGGAGGGAATGTGGGGTGAGTGCGATAAGTGCCAGGGGAGGGGTGTTGAGGCGACAAGAGAGTGAGGGAGCAGACAAGCATTGAAGACGGCCTGCAGGTAGAGAGGGGGAAAGGGAGGTGGAGCTGGAGAGTTGGAAGGAGTGTCAGCCAGTCGGCATTCAAGCTCTTTCCCGGTCCAATAACCATTTTGGCAGTCGGCACATGGTGCTGTTGCTTATGAGAATTCTCAAAAGCAACACCAACAGTGCGACTCTTTTCTCGGTCCAATCACCAGCTTGGCAGTTGGCACATTGGAGTTGGCGCTTCCTTGGATTGGAAATGCTTGGCGAGTTCAGTCGTTCCTTCCGCCCGTTGCGACCTTCCTTTCGCTTTTACGTCAACGTCGGGATTCCGTTTTTCAAGAACAATATGTGCGAGAGACGCCATCGCCATGCCATGTCACGCACCACTCCATGTTACGCACCACCCCATGTCACGCACCAGCCATATCACACCCCACCCCATGTTACGCACCACCCCATGTCACGCACCAGCCATATCACACCCCACCCCATGTTACGTACTAGCCATATCACACCCCACCCCATGTCACATACAACTCATGCCATATATCTCCACGTAACGTTCTACCCCATCCCAAGTAACACCATCCTACACACCCCGTCCCACACATCCCATCCCACATATCCCATGCCACACACCCCATGTCACACAACCCATGCCACACACCCCATGCCACATACCACCCATGTCACGTACCACCCATCACACATCTCCCTCCCCTCAGGAAGAGCATGAAAGTATCTCTCGACTCAATGCCATCTCTCATTCTCCTTCGTTTATGTTTAACTACTTCCCAACGCCCTGAGCGCCTTGTAAGGCGTTAGTTTTTTTTTTATACTGATTGGACGAGCAAGGGGGGCAAGAGTCCTCGCTCACCGCACTCCAGCTGCGGTGCTGATGGGAGGGCCATCTCTTGATGCCGGCCATGCCGCTGTGAGAGTTGCTGACGCGGTAACTGGAACTGACGCCGTGGTCGGCGCAGACACCACGATTGGTTGTGGCGATGTGAAAGATTCGGAGCGGATTCTCTCAGCAGAAGAAGCGGTCGGTAGTGCATCGCACTGAGGGGGAGAGCGTGCAGTGTCCGTCACGCACCTGCCTGTCGCCGTAGGTCTCTGGAGCTGCAACGAAAGTACGATGGAGCACCGCGCTGCGATGCTCCTGCGCGCCGCGATGGTCAGCTGTGTGGGTGGGGAACGCGATGGCATTGGGGCGGAACACGGACGGCTCGTCCTCGTCCGTGCTCCACCCGTCGCCATAATCGGTATTCACATTATTTGTTTCCCTCCCAAACTGGCTATTCTCTTGATTCATGTCACCTAAAGAGTTGCCATTGCCAATCAATATTTGCAGAATGAAATTCGCTGACTTAGGGTTATGGTAACCCTAAATCCAGCTCGCGTCACGGCTATCACCCCAGATTCGTGCTCTGCAAGCAACATGCACCAAGGTACACAAGGCAAATGAGGTGATAGCTGAACCAGCAGGTGTATTCCGTCGGCCGAGTTTTATTCTAGTCGATTACCCCAAATAGGTATTGCTGCAAGGCGTCAGATGAGCAAAAACGATCTGCGACCCGCAATGAGCAGAAATCACAACTGACGAGAATTGCGAGAGTACAGTTGTACACATTGGCATTGCGGATGGTGATTGCAAAAGGAGAGGAACTCAGTAACGTGTGGTTTGGGCAAAACCGGCGTCACGTATGCTGGTACAGGAATACCTCGCCAACACCTGCCTGTGCGAGCCACAACACTAGCCTGCTTGAAGGAAATGTAACACCAACTTGGTCATGATACTCATGCTTAATTTTAGGATATTGATACTATATGCCATTTGGGGATCCAAATGCAACATACTTGAGCTATCATTTTAGAATAATTACACGTATAACTTACACGGTCTATTGTTATCTGAAGGATGTTCTTTATTCTAAAAATATAGATTCATACACTTGTATAGAACATACGCATGATATCCCAATATGTTTGAAAACAGATGCTATGATGAGGCGTACCAATCAATTCAATTGAATCCATAGACTTTCTTGCAAAAACAGCACTAAATACTAACCATAATGATATAAACTATTGTTCGTATCAGGAGAACTCGATGAGTAATGTTCACCGTAAGTAATGATACTAAACGACAGTTTGGCAAGGCTAACAGCCGATATGCTGGGGATTGGTGTAACGCAGCCTCAAGTGCGATAATAGCATAGGGAAACATCTGTTCATCCTACGACGAATGAGTGGTTCTGATCTCACGGGAATGGGACGGACCTGGTCCCTTGATTGGTCAAAAGTGTGTTGTGACAGCTGGCGACATTCTATCATGACATTTCCATATTTTCCGCTGCTTTTCCGCATCAGCTGTGCTTTCGAGCTCTTTCGAATGATGAGACTTCTCAGCCCGTGTCAAAGAATCCAAAAATGTAATAATAAGGCAGCATTCTTCGACTTTTGTATGCCCCCTAACCCTAACGTTTCTGACTTGCCCAGCAGTCGTGTTAGACTGGAGGCACGACTATTGTATCTAATTTTATTCGAGTTTACGGGGTGTGATACGGAGGAGAGGGTGAGGTTGCTGCGGACACATTCTTATGCTGTACACTATGGCAACATTTCAACAGTCGACATTTGTACTGTGCGTTCATTCCCAGAGTACTTCCGTACTGCTGCCGAGATCGCAGTCGTGCTTGCGCTGTGGTGTGGGCAAATCGGGAAACGGAACACCAAGTTGAGGTTCGGTGTACCGACGGGCACCATAGTACGTGTATTGTTTCAAATAAATTAGAAGTACACCCCACCGTTGTTGTTTTGAAAACTTGGGGGTCATCCATAGACACCTGGTTCTTCAAGATTCCTCGACGAGATTCGAGAAGCGTCACTGAAATCATGAATAAATAATGACGATCAACAAAGTAAATCGCAGTTACCGGTGAATTGCGGAACTGCGATTTTACTTAGTTGTAAAAGGCGGTGTGAGGTGGCCCCGTGGTGCAGTGGCGGCTTTTCGGGCCAAAACCAACCCAACTTCCGCGACACTCAAGCTTGGTGGATGGTTGTTGTTTGTCGCCCCAGTCTGTTGGCTCGCGCTGACCAGGGCGGGAGGGAAGGAAACAGCCTCTGGGACAAAAAGACAACACAAACTCCACGACTGTTTTCCACGGATGGTTGCTGCGACCAACCACTGGCTCCCGCTGGGGGGGGCTGGCTGGTGGGCTGCGTGCGTTGTTCCGCACAAGAGGCAGTTGGTTGGGTGCCATCTGCTCAGAAACTCGAGCAAGGAGTCCTTTCCTTGCTCATGCAGCTAGGACGATAGAAGAAGGCATGAATGATAAGCAGCTTCTAGTAGTTATTTCGACAGAAGGTCGAAAGGACCTTAATTTGTTTCGTAATAATTCTGTTCCCAGACTTCAAGTTGAAGTTGACTAACTCTCGTATACGTGCTTGACCACAGCTGCATTTTGAAGCGCCTCACTTTTTTATTCAGCCGTTCTGCGAGACATGGGGAGTATGAGCGATGTGAAGAAGGGATACGTGGACACAGAGGCGGGACAGATCCACTACCGCAGGTAATTGCGTCGCCCGAAGGCTCGTCTAATCACATGTTCCAACGGAAAGCCGTCCAGTGAACGCATGAAATATAAAGCCCTCCAAAAATAAATATCATATAATAAAGCTGAAATATATAAAACGCGAGTTCTGCGTTTTCTCAGTCCCGTGAAACATTCCAATGCACCAAAAATGCTGCTTCTTTCCCCCAGTGGATCTTAATGATCAATCTTGGGTCTCATATTTGTGGCAGCATGGCTAACATACTATAATTATATTATCTCGTGCATCGTTTGATGAGCAGATGCGGCCACGGCCCGCCGTCCATCCTGCTGCTGCACTCTGCCGCCCAGTCGTCCGCCATGTTCACATCCGCGTTAAAGAGAATGGGGGCGGCCGGCCTGCACGCCATAGCTCTGGATCTGCCCAACAGCGGAGAGTCGTGCCGTGCTGCGTCAACATGTGCTGATCCCACGCAAGCAGCTCAGCTTCCCAGCGGCGAGCTGACCATGGTTGACGTGGCGAACCTTGTGCTCCAGGCTGCTCATGCGCTTCGATTCGCTCCGCCATTCGACATTGTGAGTGCCGATGACATGGTGACAACGTGGATAAAAATGGATGGTCAATCTGATCTGATGGGTCGGGAAGATGGATGTGTATGTGTATGTGAACACGTCAAAAAGGTGGGTGGTTGGGGTGATGGACAGTAGCATAATAACTGAGTCGGAGTCACCAGATGGACGTTCATTTTGATGTCCTGGATCTGAACCTCCGGAGCATCTGAATGACAAAGCTACCCAAGTCACATTGCAGATCCCAACGCTTCTTTCGGAGACCTGGCGGTCATGGGACCTCTTGTGTCCAGCTTACGAAATCCTGTTGCCTTCTTTGTCGATGAAACACCGCGGAGGAACAATCCAGAATAGCATGGACTGAAATACAATTGGGAATGGATTGTTGGGTTGGGTGCATGCTTGCATGAAGGGTAGAGTGGCAGGGTGATTGGATACATGCATGACCGGATCTGACATGCATAGTATGACTGGATGGATACATGCATGACCGGATTTGACATGCATAGTATGACTGGATACATGCATGACCGGATCTGACATGCATAGTATGACTGGATGGATACATGCATGACCGGATCTGACATGCATAGTGTGACTGGATACATGCATGACCGGATCTGACATGCATAGTGTGACTGGATACATGCAAGACCGGATCTGACATGCATAGTGTGACTGGATACATGCAAGACCGGATCTGACATGCATGGGTGCATGGATGGATGAAGGGACGGAGGCACGAATGAGAACACGTGTGGAGAAGTCGGTTTCACGGATGGATTGGAAATGGATGGGAGGATGTGCGACCACCACCCACAACCACGCATGCAAGAGTTCTTAGATGTCTCAAACATCATACGTGGAGGAGAGGTGAGTAGATAGATCAAGGACCACTGCGGAGAACCACCCATGCAACGCATGCCTAGGCCCCACCCTCCAATCATTCCTCCCTTCAACTCCTTTCTCTCCTCGCTCTCCTCACCCTCCTCAGCCGCCTACCCTTCTCACCTCTCCGTCTTCCTCCCTCCCCCCCCCCCAACCCTCCGCTACCCCACAGGTGGGGCACGAGGCGGGCGCCACAGTGGCCATCCACATAGCAGCGGAGCTGCCTCACATCGTTCGCCGCCTCGTGCTGTGGGGCGTGCCCATGCTCGGCTTCATGGAGCGCGGCGACGCCCTCCGCGAGGAAACCCCCGACGGCCAATACGACTCCGACCTCCCCGCCGCTGTCAGCACATTTCTCCACCGCCGCTTCCCCGACGGCGGTGTGCCGTGGCAGCTGAAGGTGCGCACGCTCATCGACATGCTGCAGACGTATGAGCGGCGGCCATGGCTGTCAAGAGCCATGGCTGTGGTGGATCATGCAGAGCTGCTGAAGCGCGTCCACACGCCCGTGCTCTGCATGGCCGGGGAGAGCGAGCCACTGCACAAGGCGACGAGAAAAGCCGCCCTGTTGTGTAAGAACGGGGAGTATGTGGACATGGGGGCGGCGGGGCGGGACGTGGTGGATGAGTTACCGGACGACTACACCAGCGTCCTGCTTCAGTTTCTCTTCGGGGAACCTGCTCCGGCCGGGCCTACTGAACGAGCCAGCTGTTCCGTGCCAGCTGGTGACGTGGCAGGGGCGGGCGGGGATCGGCATATGTCTGACTCGGCAATGAAGGATGCGGGCGGGCGGCCTCTGCAGAAGCACTTGTCTCACAGCGACGCACAGATGGGGAGGGGACCGGGCGGGTTGCAACACACACATGCCCATGGCCATGGCCGTGCACATGCCCATGCGCAAGAGCATGCACACGCACATGCACGGGGAGAGGCAGAGCAGCGGGAGGGAGGAGGGGAGATTAGGGAAGCAGGGCAGCAGGGGCGCAGCCATGGGACGAGCAGCAGCAGCATGGCGTCCTCGCCTGTGATTGGCAGCATGGCCTCGTCCCCCGTGACGGTCGTCTCCCCCAGCAGCCGGTCATCCAACGACAGTGAGGAGCGGCGCACATCAGGGGAGAAGCGCACCAAGGACCGCATCAAGTCGTTCTTCCGCGGGAAGAGCACCGTTTGAAGGGAGTGCAGTGCAGCATACAAGAGAAAAGCACTGTGTGAGGGGAGAGCGGTGCGTGCATGGGTAGAGCACTGCGTGAGGGAAGAACGGTGCTGCGCACGAGGGAAGAGAAACGCTTGAGGGGAGGGGCGCTTAATGGGAGAGCAGCACGCATGGGGGGAAGTGCTCCACGGACCGCATCAAGTCGTTCTTCCACATGGAGAGCACGGTGTGAGCGCACGGCATGAGCGCAACGAAGCATAGCTCACAAGGGGAGAGCATGGCCTGAGGGGAATGTAGTGCACTGCACAAGTGGTACAGAATGCCCAAGGGGACCTGCGCGCAAGGGGAGAGCAGCACGTGTAGGGGGTGGCTCACCACCATGGACCACATTGAATGTTTTTCCGCGGACATAGTTTCGAGTGAGAGGAGACCAGTGGTGGAGGGGAGTGGTGTGCGTGCAGATGAGCAGGAGAGTAGAAGTCAGTCACAAGAAGGCGCTTCAGCCACTCTAGGCCCATAGGCAGTGTGCTCTAGGTTTACCGTATCCGGCCCATAGGCGGCCTATATAACGTGGTTTTGCAGTGCGTTGGTGTCCCGGTGTCCCGCTTTATGTACGGTAATGTTTTCCAGCGAGCCGGTGCCCACCTGCTGAGTGCCAGCACGCTGTGTGTACAGGACAGTAAGGGCGCGTGTGATCTTTGGTTTTCGGTCAAAGTTCGAACTCAAACCGCTTTGCACCGTGGCGACAATTTTCTCAATTGTATCCTACCGTGTAGAACCTTTCTAAAAGTTCGAACTTTGGGAAGTTCGAAAAAAGATCACACGCGCCCTAACTCCTAGTAGTGTCACCCTGAATGCCAAGCTTTCGGTCCAAAGTTCCCTAGAAAGAGCAATCCTCCATTCACCAGTACCCACCACCACGTACTTAGAAAAATACTGACATCTAGGCCACTTGAAAGGGCCCTGGAAGGTTCATGGTAGGAGAAAACAGGGAAGAAGGCATAGGAAAGGGAGGGTGCAGTGGTGGTTGGTAGGGCTGCTGTAGCACGCTTGTTTCCCCGCTCCCATTGCAATCTGAGACTCATCTGTGCTTGCATGCATGTTCGCGCACCTGCTACAGTCAGTCTGATGCTTCCATGTGATATTTTTCATCCCTCCTTTAATTTGGCACATGTGGGTGGATACATAAAGTGGAACCAGTTCTTACAACATCCTCTCGTCTCACATGGTGACAAGTCGCGCAGCTAAGCCTGTTTGGTGGAGCCAGTGACATGGCGATCCATGACGGTGGAAGCAGCAGATCGGTACCATCCTGATGCTGTTGCACGAGGGTCCGCCTGCACACCACATCATCACCATCCACACCATCAGCACCACACATCAAGACCTCGTTGTCCATCAGGACAAACACGAAACATGGCCTGCCATGGCCTGTACAGCGCAACAGAGGAAACGCCAACAACAGGGCCAGCCTGTTGCAAAAGTGGTCATCCTTCTCACCTGTTGCAAAAGTGGTCATCCTTCTCACCTGTTGCAAAAGTGGTCATCCTTCTCACCTGTTGCAAAAGTGGTCGTCCTTCTCACCTGTTGCAGCAGCAGCCAGTCCACAACACCCTCCTCGTTGCCGCTCCCTTGCCCCTGCCGCCTCTTTGCCTCCCCACCACCACCCTCGTCAAAGCACCTTATGCTTCTTTTCGCCCTCTTTCCTCCTGCCCCACCCCCCTTATCATCCACACACACCCCCTCCCACCGCCACAGCACCTCCATTCTCGACCCATCACAACCCCTCTCCACCCTTCTGCTCTCCTCCTCGTCCTCCCCCTCGCCCCCACCGTTGCTGCTTCCTGCAGCTCCTCCCTCCTCCAAGCCTCTCCCTGTTCCCCCCTTGCTCACAGCACGCCCCCACCGCTCCCGCTTGGTCTGCTGCAGGCGGTGCCGGGCGCGCATGAGCAGCCCGGTGCGGCTGGTTGGGGGGGAGACAGGGAGCGGAGGTGGCGTTGCAGCAAGCTGAGAACAAGATGGGAGAAGGACGTGCAGAGAGAGGGCCATGGCACGCGGATGAGCTTGAGGGGGACTCAAGGGCTGGGATGGGGAGGAGGGGGAGTGGGGTGGGGATGGGGTTGGAGCAAGGCGGCTTGGATCGGGAGCAGGGGGGAACAGGAGACGAGACGAGACAAGGCGGCTTGGCAAGAGAGGGGCACGTACCGTTCATGAGCCACCACGCTGTCTTCAAATGCTGGTGGCTGCAGATGATTGGAGAACCGCCGCCCCTCACCCGACTCCAATGCACAATCCTCTCCTCCTCCTCCCCCCTTTCTGCCTGCGCCTCTCTCTTCCTCTCCGTTTTCTCCTCCGTGGCCCTCGCCTTCTCGTGTTCCTCCTCCGCTCTCCCCACCACCTGCCCTCCCTGACTGCTCTGTTCTCCCCTTTCCCCTGCTCTGAGCAGCGCCTCCCCTTTCCCCTCCCGGGGTTGACAGAGGGGATGCACAACCTGCGGTGGCCACATCAGCAGCTCGATCCTCCACGTCCGCACGCCTGCCCACATCAGCAGATGGCATCACGAAGCGATGGCCCACTCGAGCGGGCGACGGCAAAAGCTGATTGGAAGGGAAGAAGTGTTTTCGTCACAGGGGGAGGAAGAAATACGCGAGGGCGAAAACAGGGGCGGAGGCGAGGTGAGGTGGGAAACGGAGGGAAGAGAAGCTGTGTGGGTGAGAAGCTGTGTGGGTGAGAAGCTGTGTGGGTGAGAAGCTGTAGGGGTGGGACAAACGTCTCTTTGTCCAGCGCACCGTGGCAAACACACCGCAACGGGACATTTGTCTGCCGCAAGCAGGCAGTGGAAGCCTGCCTGGGAGGACATGAGGTGGGCGCCCGTACGGCGAGTTCTAAAGCGCCTCCTCAGAACTAAGACATTACTTTAGGCGCCTTGCGTGGCACCTCCAAAACAGGCTGGCCCAGAGTCTGGAAGGAAACACACCGCAAGGATGGAGGGCAGGAGGCGGTGGAAGGCTGGCTGGGAGGACACACTGTTGGCCCCCGGGAGCAGCAGCGAGCGTGCAAGGCCCGTGACGGCGCGCGTGAGCTCTGAGAAGCGCTGCCTCACTGTGGCTGGCGGCACCCCCATGGCTGCGCACAGCTCCCCCTCCCCCAGTACCACCCCCCTCGCCCCCGCCACCAGCAGCAGTGCCGCTGCTGCTATCTGGGGGATGTGGGGGGCAGGAGTGTGGGAGGATGGAGTGTGGGAGGATGGAGGGGTCCATGATAGACGAGGACGAGAGGGAGGCGGTGTTGAGATGGGAAGGAAGTCAGGGAAAGCAGTTGGAAGAGGAAGCGCACATGGGGGCACAAGGGGATGGGTGGTGAAGTGTGGGGCAGACAGAGAATGAGAGGAGAGAAAGCAGCAAGCATGAGAGGCGAATAAGCCAGTACCATGCACGAACAGAGTGGCATGGGAGAAGGGGGAGGGGTGGGAGGCAGTGTGGGAGATGCGAGGGGGGTTGGGAGGTACCGGGGCGGCATGGGAGAAAGGAGGTAGAGGTGGAGGGAGGTACCGGGGCGGCATGGCGGCCGGTGTGGAGGGAGAGGGAGTGCGCGAAGGTGAGCAGCCTCATGGCGTCCCCCACTATCGCCTGCCTTCCCCCCTCGCCCTGCCACTCCTACACGTGTATGCCCACGATGTCATGGCATGGCATGGCATGGCATGGCATGAAATTAAAGCAGCAGCGCGTATGAGTGCTATAAGCTCAGACTCTTTGATACTGACAAGGCCAAGCAAAAGAAACGAATACCGAAGTGGAGATTGGAAATTACGGTGCACTGCAGATGGCACTATTGCACGGCATGGCACACACACATGTACTGCACATACATACAGTGGTGCACAGCACACACGCACATACCCTGAGTGCAGGCACGGCATGCACCGCCCTCCACACATGGCTGACCGGATCCACCTGCTCCGGCTGCACTCACACTCACACACACATCATGGGGTGGGGTGGCGTGGCGTGGGGTGAGGTGGCATGGCATAGCGTGGGGTGGGCATGGCAAGGGATTATTACAAGACAAAGCTGTGTGCAAGAAACTGTAGTCACAATCAAAGAGAGGCAGGCGAAGAGAGGAAGGCTGCAGGTACGACATACCTGCAGCATGGGGAAGTAAGCCGTGATGCGCTTGAACATGGCCCACACTGCTGCCAGCTCACAGTCCGTGGCGTGCTGGGTGGGAGGGGAGGTGAGGGGAGGGGAGGGGAGGGGTGAGGAGCGCAGATGAGACCAAGAAGAGAAGAGGGAACACGAAAGAGGAAAAGAGAGAAACAACTCACCGCCACCTTCCACATGCCCACCTCCTCCCCCCCATGTCCCCTCGCGCACGGCACTCACCGCCACCTCTGCACAGCACACTCACCGCGAGCGACCTCCCCCATGCAGATGGGCCGACGTCTGTTGCGCGCAGCGATGGAGACAGCGGCCGCCATGAGCACGCCCATCCACTGCCCGCTGCCCCACCGCCCCCATGCCCGCCTCCCCCCATGCCCCCTTCCTCAGCACTCACCGCCACTTCCCCCATGGACACAGGAAGGCGCCGGTTGCGCGCAGCAATGTACACAGCGGCCGCCATGAGCACATTCATCCACTGCCCGCTGCCCCACCGCCCCTCCAACACGCGCTCCGCCACCCCCACCGCGTCCCCCCGCACGCCCTCCGGCACGCGCAGCCCCGCCACCACCGCGCCCAGCCGCTCCTCCCACTCGCGCTGGCGGAGGGGCAGGCGGACGCGCAATGGGGAGGGGGAAGCGCAGGGGAGGTGGGGTAAGTGAGGCTGTTGTGGGCGCGGCGAGAACGAGGAGGCAGTCGGCGCATTTGGCGAGATCATGACAGGCAGTTGTGAGAGAGTCGAACCGACGGGCTGCACACAGCTAATAAACGGGGTACTATCAAAGTAATAGGCTCAATCTGAGAAAAATTTACGGTCCACCTGCACATCATAATAATACTACCTTGTTCTTCCGCCGCTTAAACTCCGCCGACTTTCCTCCGCCTCCCCACTTCGTCTCCGCCCCCTCCCCCCACCCGCCGCCAAATCGCCCCCCGCCTGCCCCCGCCGTCCACATCCACGAGCGGGGCTCTCCGCCATCCCCCGCGGCTCCCCCGCCGCCAACGCGCACGCCGCCGGCCCGCCCGAGCTCGTCGAACTCCACGCGTGACGTGAGCTGCGCCTCGTCCGCCACGTGGCCGCATCGCGCGCACACGAGCGCCAGCGCCTGCTCGTCGTAATCCACTGCGCGCTCCCCGCACTGCGCGCACTCCTCCATAATCCTTGCGCCCCTGCGCCTCCTGCACGTCTAACCCTCTCTACGACCCGCACTCGGCCCAGACAGGAAAGTTAGGATGGATGCAGGTAGGAGAGAATACGTGGGATCGGCGGGAAAATATGTGAGAGAGCGTGGATGTTTGGAAATGTAGGGTTATTTGTTGGAGAGGTTTGGCATAACTGAATGTCAATGAACTGCAAAATCTCGCAGCTGCTACATTGGTCAGAGATTGTAGTAACGCGGATGAGGAATCCAACTGAAGAATCACACCGACCACAGATTCCCGCCCTTCTGCTCGCTCCGTCGCTCTGCACCACACGTTAGATTCCAGCCGTCCATCGTTGAATTCGGTCTCAGAACCAGGACTTAGACTTCTCCTGCTTCCACCAACACACACCCATGACTTCTCCGCCTAGCTCACTTCCGCGCAGCGCAACCATTACTCCTATCCTAACCCGCTTACCTTCACCATTACCCTTTCCTTTACCCTTTCTCTATCAGCAACCACATGTCTCTTGATCACCGCAGCCCGCCAGATCCGCCGCAGTTGGCGGCGGATTCTTCGCAGGCCGACACGAGCAGCGCCGCTCCCAGCAGCGACTCTCGCAGCGCCTCGTTCGACACTCCCGAGGCCCAACGGGACGACGATGTTGCTGAGCTGGCGAGCCGCATTGCAGCGACTGGCGATGCGGCGACCTCCGAACCCCCCTCATCAAGGGAGATTACGGGCGACGCGCGTAGCGGTTCGTCGTCTAATAACCGTGCGACAAGAGAGGCTGCTTCGGCGAGCGATCAACTGCGACCAACGAGGCGACGGGGAGGCTGGCTAAAAGCCGTCGCAGGGTTGCTCCTGCGCTCCCCGCTCGGGGCTCTCTGTCGCACACTCGGTCGCTCGGTCCGTCGCACAGTCGCCCGCGATGGCGCCTTGAGCGTCGCCGTGAGTCGATCCGTCGGCGGAGCCTTGAGCTTGTCGCGCGCCGCGACGTGGTTCGCGGTGCGAGTAGTAGCGATTAAATTGCTAAGGAAACCTGTACGCGCTATAGGCCCGCCGCTACTGTGGCCCGCGCTGCACGTAGTGGCAATAATGCACCTGGAGGCGCGGCTCAGCGGGGGGAAGGGTGGCGGAAGGGCAGGGGGAGGGGGAACGGTGGGGGGAGAGGTGGTGGCGGGAAGGGGTGCGGGGAAAGAAGAGGAGGCAGAAGTGGTGCTGAGGGAAATCGGGGGACCGCTGGAGATGATTGGTCGTGTTGTGACGGTGACACGTGGCGGGACGTGGATGATTATGGAGGTAAGCGGTGCGATGTGTATAATCACGGTGGGGTTGCTTGCAATGGCATGGGGTGGGAAAAAGGGAGAGGTGCGGTAAGAGGAAGGGAAGGGGGATAGCACGTGGAACGCTGGGTTAGCATGTAGAATGAAGCAACGTAAGGGGGAATGCAGGAGGATTCGAACAGCGTCACTACTGCTCGCCTGTCTGCTGCTCCCTCTCACGTTCATCCCCTTCCCCTCCTCTCTCCCTCCCTCCCTCCCCGCGTCCCGCCGCCACACAGACGTTCGCCGCGCCTCTCCTCGTCTCCACGCTCTCCGTCCTCGTGCCCTTCCTCCTCCCCGCGCGCCCCTCCTCCCGCGCGCCCCCCACGGATCCTCCTCCCATGCTCCCACCCCCGGTCGAGGCCCGCCCTTCCCTCTTAGAAGCACGCGCAACAGCACGCGCATCAGCGCGAGCAGCAGCGGTAGCAGCATCGCCAGAAGGAGCTGCATCATTGAGAGGGGCGTCATCAGTGTCGGACTATTCTCTTGACGGCTCTATTGCGGCGTCTGACACTGCATCAACAGCCTCCTCTGCCTCATCTCGCCCTTCCACTCCGCCTCCCCGTGCTGCTGTTCTCCCCGCCCTCCCTTCCCCGCCCTCGCCCGTGCTCTCTCCTGCCGACCAAGTTTTGATTCAAGACGTGCGATCGGCGCTCGAAGATGCTGACGTGGACACACAGGATTGGTGAGAGAGCAGTCCGGTCAAGCGTGTCGCGTGGCGATTCCGAGTGCTCCTAAGAATGTTCTCAAGCATCCTCCTAGTGTGTGCTTGTCTTGCTCACTGCTCCGCTTTACAGCTCCACCACCCAGTGCGCATGACGTCTGTACCCACGCCATGTTTGTTCAACCTGTGTCCCCTTTTCCCCCTCCCCAATGCACCCTCCCACCAACCCTTCCACTCCCCCTTCCTGCGCGCCCATGTTGTCATGCACCCCTTTCCAACACCCTCCCTCACGCCCCTCCCTCTCTTCTGCGCCCTCTCCCCACATGCTCCCCTTCCATGCCCTCTCCCCCGCACCTTCCCCCCCACAACCTCCCTCGTTTCCTCGCCTCGCCTCGTCTCCGTGCGCCAGGCTGACGGACGACACAGTGCTGCGCTACGCAGTGCCAGGCAAGCGCCACGTGGCGTCAATGGTGGATAAGATCCGCGCCACTGCCACGTGGCGCCGCTCCTTCCGCCTCCTCTCGCCCGCTGAAGTGCTCTGCTCCCCCTGGCGCCCGTTCGGCTACTGGCACGGCGCGGACGTGGACGGCAGGCCTTGTCTTGTTCTGCATGTGGGGCGGGCGGCTAAGACCATTCCGTCTGCTTTCCATGCCGACTTTGTCTGCTACCTGGGTGAGCCGCCCTTCCCTATCTCTCTCTCATCATCCCTTCCTTCTCTTGCCTTCTTCCAGCCCATCCCTTTCCCACCCCTCACCTGCTTTCCTCCCCTCCCCTGCGTCACGTCACCACGTCCCTACGGCCACTGCACCACCATCAGCACAATACCCCCACCTCTACCAACCACCGTCCCCATGCGTCCGCCTCCCACTCCCCCTCCTCCCCCTCTGCCCCTCCCTCCCTAGTAAGTGCGATTAAGGCAGCGCTCACCCTCACAACACCCAAACCTCTCCATCCCCGTCCCCCACACCCCCCATGCCACTCCCTTGCAGCGTCCCTAGTGAGCGCCGTAGCAGCATCCCTCACCCTTGCATGCCCGGACAGCGGGCGCATCGCCGTCATTCTGGACTGCCAGGGCGCGCCCACCTTGTGGCACTTGCCCGTGGGGCTGCTGCGCGCCACCATCACCGCTCTGCACCGCAACTTCCCCCACCGCATGGCCCGCCTGCACGTGCTGCACCTGCCGGCCACACTCCGCCTCCTGGCTCGCGCTATGCTGCAGGTGGGGACAAAATGGGGGGTGAGCTGCAGGTGGGGGAAGGGGGGTGATGCAGATGGAAGAGAGGGGGGGGGTTCTGCTGGCGGGAAAGGGGGAGTTCCAGGAAATGTGGGTGTTTCTGGAATGAGGAAGAGGGCTAGGTATTCTGCTCGCCCTTCATCTTGCTGCTTGCTTGCTGCCTGTCGTCTTGCTGACCAAGGTTTCCCCCACGCTCTGATGCACTCTCTCACACCCCCATCTCATTCCTCCCTCCTCTCCCTCGCCTTCCCTCTCTTCCCTTCCCATCCTGTCCCCACCCGTCCCCTCCCCATCACTCCCCTCTATTCCCCTCTTCCCATCCCCCCCCTTTCCCTCCCCTCCCCTCCCCTCCCTTCCCTCCCATCTCCCATCCGCTCCCGTTTCCCCCCCTCCCTCCCTTCGCATGCCCTCCCCTCCCCCTCCCCTCCATTGCTCTCACCGCCAGCTGCTGAGCCCAACCACGCGCAGCAAGATACAGATTATTGGTGGCGGATCTTCTGCCACGTCATCACTCTCTGATCTCTTTGGGCTCCACGTCAGCGTGCCAGCTAGGCTGGCAGGCGGCTGCATATGCGCTGTTTGCTGCGAGGAAGAAGCAGAGACAGTGGCAGAGGGGAAAGGAGTCCCCAGTGCGGAGCAGAGTCTCGGGGGGAGCGGGGGAGAAGCAGGGGCTGTGGCACAGGCAGGAGGAGCAGCAGAGGGTGCTTCAGCAGGAGCAGAGGCAGTCACAGACCCAACATTATCGTACCGTTCAAACTCGCTCCCACTGGAGGAGCACCCTTGTAACGGCGTAACCCATCCCCTTACCTGCCTGTCTGCACCCCTGCTACCCTCCACCCCTCAGCAACCCTCGCCCCAGCAGTCACCACCCCTGCATGTGTCACCCCGTCAGTTTTCGCCTATGCGTCCCCGCCGCCGCTCCCCACTTGTCTGTGCTCTACGCTCGGGCAAAGGGCAGTCAGGAGCGCGGGGAGTAGAGTGGGCAGAGAGGGTGTGGGTGAGCCGGCACGTGGTGTGGAGCTTTTTGCTGCTGCTGCTCATGGCCTTCACTCTCACCGCCCTCTGCCTCTGCTCTGCGGCTGCCGTGGCTAGTTACTTGGATTAAACGGCCAGCAGTACAATTATACTGTTAAGTTGAGTGAGTGTATAGTCACACATACCACGTGGTGTGGGGAAGTGGAGGGCCTAGTATTTGATGCTGGTGCGTCTGACTTGGAGATCTTACGGTATTTCATACGATCGTGATTAGGGTTCTTGCCGAATGCGGTTTATGTCTTGTTATTGTACACTAATTATAATGATATCATCTCTCTGTGTCGACCAGAGCATGAACCCAGCACATCTCAGCATATACCTAGCACAGATTATTGGGGGCATACCTTTCATCTAAAAGCACTATATTCACCTGTAAAAAATTATTCTGGATACATGATAATGGAGTCTTGCAACTGTAGGTGGATAAATGGTAAATTTTGTGTCGGTGGATTCGGAATATTCCCAGCAGCAAAGTGATGTGTCTTTCATTCCCTGCATATTGGGACGCGGCTTGCCATGTCATTCAATCAGCCAACATCTGGCGCGCTCCATCGCGCTGTTCAAATGAGAGCTCAAGATTACTTCGGCTTTCATATCGAGATAGCAAAGACGAAAGGGGCGGCGCGAGCTACGGGAAAGGGTTTCTCGGCTTATTTGCTCGGATCGCTCAAAGCGGCTGTGGGTGTGGCTTTGCAACGGGCTCAGGCGCGTGTGATCTTGTTACGCGCTGCGTCGATGATGAGAGGCCCAGAGGCTGTTTGGGTGGAGCGGGAGGATGTTGAGGAGGAGATGGGATGGGATGCTCCGTGGGCGGATGCACCATACTTGGTAGACATGCGGGTTTAGGGAGTGGGTTTAGGGGGGGAGGTTTGGTTCGATGGGAGTGCAGTTGGGGTGCTTTGATGGGAGGGCTTGATGGTGTTTTAAATGTGTGTGCTATTGGGGTTTTCTTGGGGTTGTGTGTGCTACTTTTTCTTCCTTCTTCCCTGTTTTTCTTCCTCCTATCATTTTTCCCCTATTCCCCTCCTTCTTTCTTCCTCTCTCCTTTTTTCTACTCACGTTATTCCTCCTTTTCTCCTCTCTTCCCGTTTCCACTCCTTTTCCTTGCGTAATTACTTCGGCTTTCCCGTTCATCAGCATCTTGAGCTCTACTCGTTCATTTCGAAGACCTCGGGATTTCACCCATGCTTGGCTCTCCCATTAAATCGCTCCCTGGAGATTATTCCACTATCTTTCGATCTTTCATAGCCTTTTCTCGCTCTTCGCACCATCCAATGCTTTAGTGTGTCGCGCCGCGTAGCTCGTAACGGCACAACCGAAGGTTGCCTGTAATTCGCTGAGCCGGTTCCCCTGATTTCGTCGCACTTTCCGCTGCCTCGACGCGATCACTAAACAACAGCACATCAATTGCACACGGATCCCTCTCTGATCGCCAACGAATCATAAGCGCTGACTGCACGCAGCATGGCCGCGGCATCGCATCGCTCGTCAATCGCAACCACCGTTACCCACAGCCCCGTCTTGCATCTTCTCCTACTACTCTTCCTCTTCATACTCCGATCCTCCTCAGCTTCGTCAGCCGAACACTCTGTCGGCAATGATGCGTCAAATCCTTCTCAGTCAGGCATAGCCGCTGCCGCCGCTGCCGCTGTAGCCGCAGATTTAGGAGATAGTGTCGGCACAGGACCGGGTTTGGGACTGGGAGCAGCCGCGGATCAATTCGTTTCGACGGATGATATTCCTCCGGCGAACGGAGCGGCGGACGCGGCGACAGGCGCAGCGGGGCCGGAGGGTTTCAATCCGAAATTAGCGGGAATTGAGGTGGAGGAGCGGTTGGTGGAAGAGCTGCTGACGTGGCTTGAGGAGAAAGGTGTGAGAGGGATTAGAGACGAGAATGCGGCGATTAAGGTGAGGTGAAGTGTGACGAGCATACGTCTTTAATTGGTTGGCGGCGTTCTGAATGAAAGCAATGGAAAACATAAGCTATACCAGAAAGATGGACTGATCTCAGAACGAAGGGTGTAGAACGGTTGGCAATGACTAAACGACGGACGTTCCCTTTGTCAGGAAATTGAGCAATCATCTCACTGATCCAACCTGAGCAAACCATTTGCATGCACGCAGGTATTCATTGATGCCAACACAACTCTCAAGGCGTCCGGCAGGTCAAGGTGAGGGAAGTCAGACCAATTTGGAACAAACTCACTGAAATCATGAAAGGTGGCTCATCGCAGTTTGTAATTCTCCAAAGAACGGCTGCTGCCCTCTTTCAATGTATTGTACCTTGCCCTTCTTCCCAGCACATCTTTCCCAGTTTGTCTTCCCATCCTTCCTTTTTCCCCTTGAAGCGTAAGAAGTATGCACTCCTTACCTCCACCTTGCCTATCACCCCACCCCCCCCCTCCCCATCCCCCTCCCCCTCCTCCTCCCCCTTTCCTCCCCTGCCATCCCCACCCCACTGGCAGGGCGAATCTCCGCATGGTGGCGCGGCGCCCCATCGCGGAGGGCGAGGTGTTTCTGTCGCTGCCTCGCTCGCTCGCTCTCTCCGAATCTCTCGCGCAGGAAGAGGCAAAGCCGTACGAGGGAGAGGTGAGAGACCGGCCTCTCAGCAGACGCAGTAGCGCCAATCCAAAACACGACCAAGTAAGGTCTGGGGAACTAGACAACTCATCATCTCTTAACGGCCATCCTCACACAGTATTCCTTCCTAATAGTGCGTACAGTCCCTGTTTTCATCCCCCCTACACACAAATCCGCCCATCACCCCCTCCTCCCCGCACACACGGCCAGGTGCATCACCCTTCACACGTAGCACCCTTGCCCCCCCCCCCCCCCCCCCCCCCCCCCCCCCCCAACAAACCCCCCCTCCCCCCCCCCCCCTCCCCGTTCACGGCGCTGGCGGCCATTCCCCTTCCCCCAACATCTCTGCCTTTCCCCAATCCTCCCCCCCCCCCCAGGTGCATCCATTCACAGCACTGGCGGCGTGGGTGCTGAGGGAGCGGGCCAAGGGGCGCGCGTCCCTGTGGACGCCCTTCGTGCGCCTGCTGCCCGCGCACCTGCCCTTCCCCCACCTCTTCTCAGACCGCCTGCGCACAGAGCTCCAATCCCAATCGCTGCTCTTAGCTGTGAGCTCCAACTCACAACCATCCTCCCCTGTCCTCTTGACTTTTGAGTCGACTCAAAAGTCATCCTCCCCTGTCCTCTTTCTTGTTCCACTTACATCACGTCTCCGATGCTGTATCAGCCAGGTGGTGAATCCGTCTCACCCATCCAAGCCCTTCTCCCCGATTCCGTCTCAACCAAACCATCTCTCCTCAAATGTGCCTCACCCAAGCCTATCCCACGTTTTTCTCTGCACTGTGTGCCACAGACCGCTGAGCACAAGCGGATGCTGACAGAAGAGTACAAAAAGTGCCAGCCAGAGGCCATAGCGAATGCAAGAGAGGAGGAGTTCCTGTGGGCGGTGGGCATGGTGACCTCGCGCATGTTCACACTCCCTGCAAACAACACCACTGCCAGCGTTGATTCCAGTGGCGGCAGCAACAGCAGCAGTGCTGCGAGCAACGCGACAGAGACAGTGCTCTTCCCCTACGCGGACCTATTCGACACGGACAACGACCCCGTCGCCATGTGGCTGGTGGGTGCCATGTGGCTGGTGGGTGCCATGTGGCTGGTGGGTGCCATGTGCAAGCCGTCCCGAGATGCCACTCAGCAAGTCAGCATGTCCCATTCACTGCGCCTCTACTCCCTACGCTTCTTGTCTCCTCCAGTACTCACCACCACAGCCGTGACTCTCCTCAATCCCCCACAATGGTAGGTCCTCCGTCCCTCGGTTCCCAACCATTGGCCATCTGCTTCTTCCCTCTCTCCCTCATCCCCCATCATCACCCCTCATCCCTTCTACCCCCACCTCCCCCCCTCCACCAGGCCAACGACACGCACATCACATTCACGGCCACGGCCAACATCGCGCAAGGCCAGCACGTAGCGTGGAGTCGGGGCTGCTAGCAACAATCACGTACTGCTGTCCCTCATCATGACTCCTTGCTCCCTCCCCCCTCCCCCTGCCCCCTCCTCCCTCCTCCCCTCCACCAGGCCAACGACACGCACATCACGTTCACAGCCACGGCCAACATCTCTGCAGGCCAGCACGTGAGTGTGGAGTCGGGGCTGCTGGCGAATGATGAGGCGCTGCTGTCGCGCGGCATGGCGCTGGTGACCAACTACCGTGACAGCGTGGACGTGTTCGAGTACCCCGAGGTCGCCATCGACTTCTTCGGCCGCCACTGCTTCAGAACGCACTGGGAATCCTTCATGGAGGTACGTACGGTGCTGGGGGGCATGGATGTAGAGCAGTGGGGGGCCGTGCAGGTATGCACAACTGGGGGGGTGCAGGTAAGGTTGGGGGCATGGCGCTGGTGAACAGCTACCGTGACTGTGTGCACATATTCGACTAGTGGGGTCTGGCAATGGGAAATCATGGAGATATGGAGTCTAGGGCTTAGACGTTTGATTGGTGGATACGGCGCTGTCCACCTGTGTACTGCTCTCTCTTGTTCCTTGCCCCCAAGCTTCCATAGACATTTCCTCCACCTGTCCCTTTCTGCCTGAATGCATATCTCATGTTATCCTCCCTCTCCCTCCACGTGGTGGCATGCATGCAGACTGACGTGGAGCAGGTGTTTGCTGACATGGAAAAGGCACTCAAGGCAGAGGTGACCAAGGACCGGTACAAGGGCATACCGGACGAGCCCGAGTTCAGGATTGACACACAGGCGAGCCTGAGAGTCTGGTTCGGCGGGAGGCTCGATCCAAGGCTGCTGGGAGGTTTGGCAGCCCTGCATGCGCACGTGATGAACAAGGAAGGTGAGATTCGTCCCATGCTTCCCTTCCTTCCCCAGCCCACCTCGCTTCCCGTCTCTTGATGCCTCTTCTTCTACCCTCATCTGCCTCTTCTTCTACCCTCATCTGCCTCCACCTCATCAGGCTGTAAGCTCATTGCCTCCCACTTCATTCCTGCTACCCGTCACCCACCTTCTCTCCCCCTTTATCACACCTGTCTCCTCTCCCCTCCCCCACAGCCCCAGACTATGCCGCACTGGCGCGGCCAGCAGTGGAGTACAGCTGGCTGCGCGACCCCAAGACCACGTGTGACGACTACGCCGCCTCGCTCCCCGACAACCTTGGGGACTCCATCCCCGCAGCCGGCACGGGCATTCTGGAGCGCGCCAGGCAGATGCTCAAGGCCATGGGGACATCACACGAGGGGGACCTGCAGCGCATGTTTGTGGTGCAGGCGTGCAAGGTGCAGGTGCTGTATGGGACCTACCCCGGGCACAAGCCGCTCATGTGCCCCCCTGAGTTCGTGAGTGAGCTGGCGGACTGGGAGGCGGCCTTGGCTTACAGGCTGTCGAAGAAAGAGGTGCTGTCGCACGTGATTGGCCGCCTCACAGCCACATGCGAGGCTTAGTGCTGAGCAAGAGGAGGATTAAGATTGCTGGTGTATATTATACGTTGGGACATTATATTGGTGATACTTTTTCGCTGGCTTTCTGCACAAGGACCCTACTATATTTCGAACGCGCCGTGCCGTAGTCACTGGCTGCAGCAGCGTCGTCAAGCCTTTAGTTGTCTCGCCTTGTCGGTGCTCACGTCGACTCCACGCGGCGCACGTGAGTGAACAGACTACGCGCATTTGTTACTGGCACAGGCAATCCTCGTTACAAGGATACACGCCGACGAACAGACGTTGGTTCTGAATCGTTACAAGAGTACGACACGGAAGCGGCTTACGCGGTGATGACAGCTAGGAAGGGCTCACGCTTCGGAAATAAAGTGAGGGGGAATAGAGTGAGGACTCGCCAACGGTCCATCCTAATTCACGCGTAGTAACGACGCGGCGCGATGCTCCCTGCTCCGTGAAGCTCCCACTACGAATTTGCGGGCCTAGGGAGCATCAACGGCACGTTCACCTCACCGCGCCTGCGAGATGCGCGCCTTCCACACTCAGCTGGCCGAACTACCAGCAGGATCACGTGCATGTCTCTGTCTGGTCTTGGCATGCGCTGCATGCTCATAGGGCCGCAGCTCACCTTCCACACTCTCGCCCGGAAGCTCCCTGCCGCTCAGCTGGCAGACTTGCCGGCGGGCTCACTGGTGCGTTCACGCTGTGCTTCTTCTGGTTGTCACTGTCCCTCAGTTGGCGTTTGGCATGCTCTGTGTCAGCTTCATGCACCGCGTGAAATGTCACGTGCTCCACATGCAAATCCTAGCTCCACGTGCCAGATACCGGCATGCTTGGCAAGCAAAATGTGTCAAATGTTGTAGCCTATAGTGAGGTTTGTCTTAGGGGGTACAAAACTTAGGGTTAGCTATATGTACCCCAACCAACATCAATGCATCATCCATTCTTCATTCTGACATGGTATCAGTTAGGTTAGGATCCTGTGGGATCCCGTTCCTCCGTTCTCCGTTCGAGCCTCCCGAGCCTGATCCTAGCTCTCATTCGTCCCGGTTCCGTTGTTACCGCGCGTAGTGCCGCGCCTAGCGCCACTCCTAGCGTCGCGTCCTGCCCGCCCTTTCCCCCTCGTCGCGTCCCTTTCCCCCCGTCGCGTCGCGCCCTTTCCCCCCAGTCGAGTCGCGCCCTTTTCCCCCCGTCGCGTCGCGCTCTTTCCCCCCGTCGCGTCGCGCCCTTTCCCCCCGTCGCGTCGCGCCCTTTCCCCCCGTCACGTCGCCCTGCCCCGTCCCGTCGCCCTGCCCCGTCCCGTCGCCCTGCCCCGTCGCGTCGCCCTGCCCCGTCGCGTCGCCCTTCCCCGTCCCGTCGCCCTTCCCCGTCCCGTCGCCCTGCCCCGTCGCGTCGCCCTTCCCCGTCCCGTCGCCCTTCCCCGTCCCGTCGCCCTGCCCTGTTGCGTCGCCCTTCCCCGTCCCGTCGCCCTTCCTCGTCCCGTCGCCCTTCCCCGTCCCGTCGCCCTGCCCCGTCGCGTCGCCCTGCCCCGTCGCGTCGCCCTGCCCCGTCGCATCGCGCCCGCCCTTTCCCCCGTCCCGTCGACCCTACGCCCTGGCCCGTCGCCCTAGCCCGTTCTTCCGCTGCGACTAAGTCCCCCCCCCCCCCACCTGAACCCTAATTTGCCTCTTACCTCCTGCTGTTACTCGCCTGCTCGTTCGCGTTAGTTCTCGCTATGGCGACTCCGCGAGTTCTTCGTTTCGACGCTGACGGTAGACCTCTTGACTTTTCCGTCTGGCTTCTTCGCGCTCGCCGTCTGTTAGAGAGTCAAGTCCAGGGGGGCGAGACCCTCTGGTCGCACGCTACTGGTGACCTCCCCGAGCCCCCCGAGCCTGCCGCTTTAGGTCCTGCCCCTGACGATGCTGCTACGGCTCGCTTTGCCCGTCAGCGCGCTGACAGGACGGCTTGGACGTCGCGTGACGCTGCGGCCTGCATCGCACTCAGCAGCCTCCTCCCTGAGTCAGAGGAGGTCCACTTCACTCAGGTTCGCACCGCTGCTGCGTACCTCACTGCGATTAAGGCCCGCTACTCTACTCCCGCTACTGTCTCTCTTGGCCGTCTTTTCCTCCCGTTCCTGTTTCCTGATCTCGCCTCGTTTGAGCGCTCTGCTGACTTGATCGCTCACCTCCGCTCGCTCGACGCTAGTTACCGCGCTGCTTGCACTGAGGCACAGCTTGCACTGCTTCCTCCCCCTATGGCGATTACTATCTATTTCATCGCCACTAGCCTCCCTGACCGCCTTGCCTCCGTTCGCGACGCGCTTCTGCTGAAGCACCCTAGTGAGCTCACCGTCGATGTCCTTGAGTCTACACTCAAGGACGTCGAGAGCAACCTTCGCTCGGTAGCCGCTGCCTCTGGTGCTGTGCCCCCCCCACTCTTCCACGGGTGCACAGTCCCGCAGTTACCCACCTTTACTGCCTCACTTGCCACTGCCGCTACTGACGCGACTGCAGCTGCTGTTACGACTGCGTCGCGGTCCCGCGGTAGGAGTGGCAAGAAAGGCGGTTCTGGTGGTGGTAGTGGAGGTGGAGGCGGAGGTAGTGGAGGTGGCGTTGCGCCTGGCGGCGGTGGAGGTTCAGGGCCTGGAGAGGCGCCTCGTGCAGTGACTGGTGACTCCACTGCGCCTGCTGGTGGTGGCGACGCCCGAGTTCGTCAGTCGCCTCCTGTACTTCCTGCCCCGGTTGGTGGAGCAGCGGCGTGGTACCAGGCTCAGCGTCAGCAGCAGCTTCTGCAGCAGCAGCAGCCCCTCTCCTCCCAGCAGCCTCAGCAGCAGCAGCGGCAGCAGCTGGCTCCAGGGTCGGGGCTGCGTCAGACCCAGCGCGGTGCTGCTTACACTCCCTGCACCTACCAGGTTCTGACAGGCACTCGTCGTGGCCACCCTTGTGGCCGGTTTCACCCCCCTGGTCAGTGCTTTGCTCAGCTCACTGACACGGTTCGTTTGGTCTACGGGGTTGGTGCTCCTGCCCCTGACTGGCTGCCTCTTGTTCAGCGTTACGGCTCCGCTCTGTGGGGCATGTCTGCTGAGCAGTTAGTTGATCTGATTGGTACTCCCCATGCTATGTATGCTGTTGTTGACTCTAGTGTTTCTGACTCTGCTTACTCTGGTGTTGTTAGCTTAGGTGCTAGCCTTGCTCAGTTGCCTGTTGCTAGTGTAGGTTCTTGTGTAGACTCTAGTCCAGCGGCTACCTCAGAGGACGGTTCGCTGTCGTTCACGCTGGACTCTGGAGCCTCTCACTGCTTCTTTCGTGACAGCACGACACTTACGCCTCTTCCTGCGCCTGTTTCTGTGGCGCTGGCTGATCCCACTTCGGGACCAGTCACCGCGCGTCACACTACCACCTTGCCGTGTCCGGCTGCTCCTTCTGGGTCTCTCACTGGGTTTCACGTCCCCTCGTTCTCCCGGAACTTGGTGGGCGTGCGACCCCTCGTGAGTCAGCACGTGGGTGTGTGGTTTGAGCCTTCTGGAGAGACTGCGGTGTGTGTTGACGGGGACTCTTACCAGCCCCTCGCCACTTTTGCTGCTGAGCCGGGCTCCGGTCTCTACACTCTTCACACTGGCCCGCGCGCTCAGCAGCGACTGCAGCAGCAGCAGCAGCAGCCGCAGCAGCAGCAGCGGCAGCAGCCGCAGCCACAGCGGCCGCCGTCGCAGCAGCCACTCCTCCCAGTTCCTGTCCCTCCCCCTAGTCTCCTCCCTGCGTCTCACCAGGTGGTTCCGTCCCCTCAGGTTGTCGCGTCCAGTCCAGTCGCTGCGTCTTGCTCCTGTCGGTCACTTGCCCACCCCACCGTTCTGTGGCACCACCGGATGGGACACCCTTCTCTTCCACGTCTGCGTGCTATGTCTAGTCAGCGTCTGGTCTTAGGTCTCCCGCGTGTCTTGCCGTCGCTGCCGCCGTCCCTTGCACCACCGTGCGGTCCTTGCGTCGAGGGTAGGCTGCGTGCCACCCCTCACTCCTCCTCCCTTCGTCCGGCCACCGAGCCTTTTGAGACGCTGCACTTGGACGTCTGGGGCCCCTCTCCTCGCCCTGGCCCTGAGCGTGAGCGTTTCTTTTTGGTGGTCGTTGACGACTACTCCCGCTACACCACAGTGTTCCCCCTGGCGAGGAAGTCTGAGGTGACTTCTACGCTGATCAGGTGGTTGCTTACCACCCAGGACACTCGTGGTCGTCGTGTCAGCTGTCTCCACTCCGACCGCGGGGGCGAGTTTCGCTCCGGCATTCTCGCTGGATTCTGTCGCGAACAGGGCATTCGTCAGTCCTGGACGCTTCCGGAGTCCCCACAGCAGAATGGGGTTGCTGAGCGTCGCATAGGCCTGGTCATGGAGATTGCCCGCACCTCCTTGACTCACGCCCGTGCCCCCCATTTCCTGTGGCCATACGCAGTCAGGTACGCCGCGCACCAGCTGAACCTCTGGCCACGCGTCTCTCGGCCGGAGGCTTCACCGACCAGTCTTTGGACAGGGTCCCCTGGTGTCGCGTCGAGGTTTCGTGTCTGGGGGTGCTTGGCTCTTGTCCGCGACACCTCCGCGGACAAGCTCTCGCCTCGCGCCGTTCCTTGTGTCTTCCTTGGTTTCCCTGAGGACTCCTCTGACTTCACCTTTTACCACCCTCCCTCTCACCGGTTCTTTGACTCCCGTGACGTCCGTTTCGAGGAGTCCACCCCGTACTACGTCAGGTACCCCAGTCGAGGTCTCCCGGTTCCTCCTCCCCCCCTCTTCCTGACAGCCGCTCCCCCGCCTGCTCCCCCGGTACAGCCTCCCCCCCTGGTCCAGCCCCGTCTGGTGTGTCTCAGGCTAGCCCTCCCCCTTCGGTAGCCCCCCCTGTACAGCCTCCCTCCCCACAGTCTTCCTCGCCGCCTCCTGCAGGTGCTCCCTCTCGGGAGGTTGGTCCTGCGACTGTCCCTGTACAGGTCTCTGGTTCTGGGGGTGCTGGAGTTGGAGCTGAGCCGCGGGTTGCAGAGGACTCTTGTCT